ATTTTGGCACAGACTACAGTGTCCTGCTTTTTAGGATCCTGGTCAGTTTGTTTTAAAGCCAACCCAGCTTAGCAAGGATGCCATGATATGCACATTCAGCCCTTGAAAGGCCTCCTGACAAAGACCTCTTGGAGGGACTGGCAGAGAAAACCAAGGTGACTGTGACCTCTCCAACCAACAAAGGTTAGGGTGGCCGTGGGAGGGGACGCACCAGAAACTTGCCTTTCAGATCCACATGCTGGGAGCAGATAAGATGAAAATCTAAGGTTGCCTTGGTTCCATCCCACACTCTGGAGAACGATATGTGCCAGGAGCTTTTTGCTTCTTGCCATCCATGTTCTCTCCCATCCTATTCTTTTTTCAGACCTTGAAAGCAAACAGCTCCTTTGCTACCTCTTCTGCTCCCTCTCCCACCACTGTCAAGTTAGGGTCTTTCCTCTTCCCACCCTTGCCTCCACTAATTAAATCCCACCTCAAGTCATGCCCACACCCTAACTCTGTCTCCCTCCCAGTCCCCCGGCTTGTCCTGCCATCATACTTTTTTTTTGACTTGTGCTATTTCCCCTACTTCCTCACCTTCTTTTTTGCCCAACAGCTGCTCCCAAACCCTGAATCCTTGGTGGCTTAATCCTTCTCTCTGTTCTCATTGCTGTTCATTGTTAATTCAGAAAATCAGCCTCCCCCCACTCCTGCCTCTGCCCCAGTCACAGCATCTTTCCCTCTTACACCACCTCCTCCCCCAGCTACTCCAGCCCCAGTCACAGCAGATACTTCAAACAGATTTCTCTCTCTCTCCTCCCACATCTGGCTAGCACAACTACTTCTCCTGCCATGCTGCTCCACAGGCAGTGTGGTGGTGGTCATCACTTCATGAGATAAACCCCACTTTGCTCTCAGCTCAGTGCAGCCTCCCACTGCAGTGCCTGGCAGGTGGGATGGGCTCAGCCACCACCTGTGCACAGGTCAGGTGCTCCAGCAGCTGCAAGGACACAGAATATCCTCAGCCAGGACTTCCCAGGGATGACTTTTTGTCCTGTAAGTGCTAATAAGCCTCGACAGACCTATGTGGTCTATGATTTTTCAAAGTTGTAAAGTGTGGTCCAGTTTGGATAGCTTTTGTCAAGATCCATAAAAGCTAGATTTCCAGTTTGTATGGTGTAAGTGTCTCAGACAAAAAACTAAGACAAGCTTGAAATGGGACCAATGCATTTTTTTTAGCCTTCTTCTTGGTAATGTCCTGAATCACTTTCATTTTAACTTTTCATCACTCTGAAAATTATAAGTGAGTGAATCCAAGATATTTTTATAGGAAATGCTGTGCAGCCTTAATATGCAGGGGATATTATACACTCCTATGCATAGGAATGTTAATTGTTAGATAATGCAATCATAAAATATTTTTTCACCTTTGTTTTTCTTATTTCCATTCTCACCAATTATCAAAATCTGCTAATTGCTGCATACTGTGGGCCTCTAATATTTTATTCTTCATTGGAGACCTTTTTGCTGCAGGACAAACTCATCATTAGCTGGAACATCCCCTGAATTAATTTATTCAATTGGTGACTGCTGAGTCATAAAAATAGTGGTATTATACTGAGGCCTTAAGTCACAGGCAGTGTTAAAGGAATAATCTGAATTAGTTGAGCAATATCCTTTTCAGCACAGTGTCATGAACTTCCCTTACACTGATCACGTTTTTTTAACAAAGATGATATTCAGGTTTATTAAAGGTATTTCTCTTATCCTGGTCTTGGGCATTTGCTTGCTAAGTTGCTGAAAAAAAAAAGCCACAAGATTTATGTCAAAAGTGGAAGTCATTGTGCACTTTCCCGCAGACAAAGACATCAGCAGAACAGCTCTTGCTGCTTGAATGGCATGAGCAAATCGATTTCTTACATCTGTTTTGGTCAGCCCAGCATTTCCTTTATACTCCACAGGTAGGTTGCAAACTTGCAAATTCAAGGAGACAGTGGAAATTTCCCTGTGAGGGAAGCGTGTCTCTCAACGCTTCCAGGCATGCTGTGGCAGAACAAAGCTGTGACCCATTCTTTCATCCGCCACCCTCAGGGAAGGAAGATCTTTAGAAGTCAATGTCTCATTTATGACTGTGCATTAGAACGGCCTAAACTGGTCACAGAGAGAAATTATTTTACAATAATCCTGTAAAAGGAGAGACAGAATCTCTGTAGCTCAGCTGTTGGCCTCCCAGGGCTTGGCACGGATCTGGAAATCCGCTGAATAACGTTGGGAACGATATTGTTCCTCGATTTCCAGCTGTACTGGGAGGTAGGTGGTCAGTGCAAAACCTACCCTACCTCCTGCTGCTGCTGCTGCAAGATTGCTGCTGTCTGGATCAGGGGGAGGATAGCCCAATTCTGTAAAATAAATAGTCCCCTGCTGTGTCCAGCATAGAGGTGTCATCTCTCCTTGTAGGAGTGTGGCCCCCCTGCAGCCCAGGGTCTGATTGTGTTGCAGGACACTCATTTTTCTCAGTGGAAAGCTGCAGGATGATTTTTTTATTTAAATACTTTACCAGACATACCTCACATGCTTGTGGGGTTGTTTCTAATCCTGTCATTATCTAGAAAAATCTTTGCCTCATGGTAGAAATTGCATACTTGCTGATGGGGAGCAGGGTTCTTTTCTATTTCTAATTGATGATTGTTAAATTCCAATTTTTCCAGACGGTGGGATGATCCTGAGAAAGTGGGATGTTTTTCCTCTGTGTAAAGACACAAATATATGCATGAGCATGCACAGAAATATTATTCAATTCACTAGAACCAGCTGTTGTGAACAAACCACCCACATATAGCAACTACTGAACAGCAAAAACATTGGTCTCCCTTGTTAATACTCCAGACTGTTGTCTGAACTCCTTCTCCATCTCCTCTGGCCTCTCACTTTTTCAAGAGGACATTTGGGATTTTCACTGCCATCCAAAACCTGATGTTTAAGGAAGACCCACCTGGGAGCATCAGCTCCTGTTTTCCTGTTCTTTCATGGGTCCTACTGGTCACTCAGGCCTTGCTGGTAAAACACTCAGATCCAGTTTTACAAGCATATAGTGAAGAAATCTTGATGCAACTCAGGGAGGTGACACTTGAATGCCAGTGAGTGACAGAAGAGACCATGGTTTTTCTCTCTGAGATGGACATAACAGTCAGTAGGAGACAAGGCTGTTGACTCCTTGAGTAAATTAGACCCCATGTCATCCTTGGATACACTTTATTGTTGTTGTTGGGTTTGTCTGCTTTAAAGGCTTAATTCAGACACCCTCAGGCAGCTGTGGCTGAAGGCAGTGGGGGCTGGGAGCTTTTTCCCAGGAGAAGGCAGTGAGCCCAAAGGTGTTGTACTGAGGCACAGCAGGTACCCAGTAATGCTGGGCTTCCAGGGAAGGGAGAGCCTGGCTCCCCCACTGACTGCAGCACGCTCCTAGCCCTTATTTGCAGAGCTAGGAAAAAGGCCTCACCATTGGAGGGTTGTGAAGAATGGGCTGCAGAAGCAGGAGAGCTCTAAATGTGGTTTTATTACTGGCATGAAAAAGGCTGTAATAGCAAGGAAATTAACTGATTCTTGCCAAAGTGTAGTTCGCCATCAATGTAAGATTCACCTGTCAGAGGAAAGAAGTCTTTATCCACCACCTCTCTTTGGGGGACTGTTAAAAAATACCCAACAAAAACCGAGCTGCTTTCAAACAGGGTTTGAATTTGCTGTAATCATGTGCAGAGTACCCTACTGTTCATGGATCCAGCACTAGCATTTGCAGCCTAGCACTGCTGTAAATTCAAGGTGCGATTGCATCAGCTAATATTATTCCTGCTGTTCTCTTTGGTTTGAAATATCACCCGACTCATTTGGGTTAGATACGAGATGCAATTGCCTGGAAGCCTGTGCACGCTCCAGAAGGGTGCCTTGCTCATTATATTGACCTTTTCCAATAAAACATCCATGCTATTCCTATGTTGGATCGTGTCATCAGGACACTGCACAGGGGTGTGCTTTCATTTTCCCCTTCTGTAAACCCCTTGAGAGGTACCAGGGCCTTTCTAAGGAACTCAGATCCTTATGGATTTTCTAAGCCATGGGAAACTCCAAGAAATAAAAGCTCTTCATGGTTTCTGGACTCACCAGGCAGAGGTGCATCTCTCAGCAATTGCAGGAGGTGTGTTGAAAGAAAACAGGGATGAACAGCCCTTCTGTCAGATTTTTGACATAGTGGTGGTAAATCTAGGACCCGATGGGTGCTGGGAACCCCAGGGCCATTGCAGACTTGCAGAGAAAATGTCAGCTTCCTGATGGCCCTCTGGAATTTTACCTGCTTCTGGCCTGCCTTTCTGAGGTCCTAACTCCCAATGAGTGTTTCTTCTCTTTTCAAAGGTGAGCATGATCCTGTCCCAACCCCTGGGCCTCCTGTGCTGCTGGAGGCAGGGAACAGTGTACACAGACATGCTCACATGGCTGCCAAGGGAAGGGCATGACCTGGTAGCAATAAAACCAGGGCTCTTCCTCAAAGCCTTCCTGCAGACTGAAAGAGGGGTAGGTATGAGCTGCTAGAGGGAACTAAAAATAGACAGTCTCTTCTCTGAGTAGACCAGGGATCCTGGGAAGAAGAGGCCACATTCTTCATCGGCATGTAAGAGAGTAGGTTGGAGAAGGGAAGGAAGCACAGCTACTAGCTAGAAGATAGCACTGGCATGAGAACAAGTAGACAAAAATAGGCTATGAAAAAATGTGGGCTGCAGATCAGAAACAAGTTTCCTTCTGTCAAAGTGAAGTTCTTGAATAACCTGCCAAGAAAATTCCCAATGACTTAAGATGGACTGTGATAAATTAACAAGAGGGACTTTATGACTCACTGTTTGTCATTGCTAGGAAATATGATGATGACTAGGAGATCCCTTCTAGCCCCACATTCCTGCTGGTATGATAACAGAGGAATCTGTGTAGGGTGCAATAAATGCTGAATCACTGATAAAGAGTGCTTTATCTAGCTGCCTGGCAGGACAAAGTCCCTCGTACCCATCCTGTCTGCAAGAATTTCCAGGACAAAAAAAACCCAACAAACCTTACGTAAATGGTTGTGCTCTGGCAGCACAAAGCACGCAGCTACGGATGCCTGAGTTAGAAGAAAACCAGCTCAGCTCCATGCACCTCTGCACAGGGGAAAGGTGGTGGTGTGAGTGTGAAAGCAAAGAACCCCACTGTAAACACTGAGAGGTGAATGTGCTCCAGCAGCTTCAATACAGTGTCCATGAGAGAAAGAAACTCTTGGAAGCCTGTGGCAGTGTTCCCTGCACTTGCCCAGCCAGGTGTGTGCCGGGATCGATCAGGTCCATAGGGCATGACCGTGTCATGCAGCAGAAAGTCCCTGCAGTGCACACTGAGCCGTCCACAGTTCTGTCATGCCAGCATCCACAATTCTTTCGATGGTATTTTTTCCCTGTCTCCATGGAGTTCCCCAAGCACTTTCTGCCTGAGCACAAGGCCAGCAATCAGGATGCAGCTTACACTGATGGGTTTGGTGTCTCTCAAGTGGCTGCAAGCGCAGACCTTGGGGTAACAGCAGCAGCTGGCAATTCAGCAGTGCAGAGCTGCAGGCAGAGGCCAAGAGGACAGCCCTGAAAAACCAGACAAGGGAAGAGATAGGCCTGGTTTCTTGGCTCAGGACAGCAAAGCTGCTCAGGAGGAGAGCACTTCTCCACAGCCATCATGGCTGCCAGACGACTCAAGGAAAACTTTTCTGGAGCTTCTTCCAGACCTGTGGAGGTCATGTACAGATGTGGGTGCTCCCTCACCTCCTCAAAACCTGCAGCACAGGCTACTTGGAGTTGTAGGGCCCCTGACTTCTGCTCCCCACTGAGCCACAGAGTGTCTCCACACAGATGTGGCACCACTGTGTCCAGGGATTGCACAGTCTGGTTACTCTAGGCAAAGGACACCAGAAGGTTCTCTCTCCTGCAGTACTTTCAAATACTCATTATTCTCATAACTGCACCCAGTATCAAAGACCAGAGCAAAAAGCTCCCAGAGATCCCAGCGGCGAATGCCAACAGGAGGCAGTGGGGAAACCTCCACACCAATGGTGAGCACTCCCATGCCAGAGAGCCTGTCATAATCCCTCTCTTCCATAGCTAACAAAGCTCTTATTCATCTTTTTTCCTCTTTTCTTTCTCTTTTCTTTTTTCTTTTACTAGGCAACTGAATCACAATCAATTTTTTTATTTCCTAAGCAGTGGCAGGCTGAGGGGGTAACAGAGGCAGACTGAGCCATGGCAGGTGGTTGTGGCACAAGAGCCTCAGGGCTTCCTTACCTTCCTGCCTCTTGCCAAGGCCCACCAAGCAGGCATGGAGAGAGATCTCATCCTGGCTTTGACATGACCCTTCTCCTAAACAGCAGTCAGCAAGGAAAGGGCCCAAAACTGAACACAAGATTGGAGCTGTGACCTCAGCAGTGCTGAATACAGGGGGATGATCACTGCCTGGTCCTGCTGGGCACACTATTTATGACACAAACCACAGGGCTCTTGGCCTTCTCAGTAGGTGCATTCACGGGCTGTGTAGTTTTCAGGTGGTGGCTGCTGGTCACTGCACAGAAAAGCAACGACCTCAAATTCCAGCAGTGAGTTTCCAAACAAACCCTAGGTTCAAAGTCCTCTGGAGAGTTTTTCTGCATTCACCAGTGGATTTAAAGTTAATTTTTATATCAGCCGCTTCCAGGTGGGTTCATGGTTGATCTTTTGCTTTAACTGTGCTGCAGTATTTCCCAGCCCCAGAGCAAAGTGTTATTCTAAACACGTTTGTGGGTGGGGAGAGGTTTTGATCCACATTTAATAGGGTCCCTGGAGCGCGCTTGTCTCCCCGCCTTGTCCCAGCGTGGCGATGCCGTGGATGTCCTCGGCGTTTGCCGGCACGCCCGGCGTGGCAGCAGCAGCACCTGCTGCGAGCGCTGCAGAACTGCAGGCGGCTGCAGGGCACGGGCACAGAGATCCCGAGCAGATCCCCAGTCCCACTGCAGGGAGCCGCCAGCCCCGGGTTTGCCCTGCACACGCAGGGGACTCTCCAGTCAGTGCACTTCTCCCATGCCAGAGCCACAAGTGCTCAGACAAAACTGAAAGAGAACGGTTTCTATTAGCAAAAAAGTGACAAAAAAAAAAAAAAGGATTACACTCTGGGGTGTTTCCATTTTAAAAGCAAACAGGGACTGTGGGAATATTGTTCCTCATAAGATTACTGAGTTTGATGATTTGCCCCTACATGCAAGCTTGGAAAACTGCAGAGGCAACAGGGGAAAAAAAGGTCACACCAGTGAAGAGACAGAAGTGAGGGATTTCATCATTTGGCTAATGGAGAGGGCAGTGCTAACATGCTTTGTTCAAAACCAGCTCTGGGATTCCTCTGACACCTGCTTTTTTAATAAAGCCCTTCTCCAGAAGGTTTATATTGCACTGGGCATCAGGTCTCAGCATCCTGAACTCCTGTGGAAGCAACGATAAGCTCAAATGCCACAATAAATATCCCAAAAAGGCACACACACTGTTCTTGGTGTTTCTAAGATAAAAATTAAACAGAGCATATTAATTTAAACAAACCTTATTCCAGACTATATCATCCATACAAAGACAGACAGAAGGGCACAAGATCCAGAAATCAAGGTAAAAAAAGAACCCCCTTTTCAGATCCTCCTTTACAATGGCCTTGTCTTTCCCTTCAGCTCTGACCTGAGTCCCACCTACAACGATGCACCTGAAGAACACAAAATGCAAAGACACCTCCACAGACATCACCTTTGGACTCAATTTTCCCATTCAGATGCTACAAAAAAAAAAAACCCCACCAAAACCCAAAAGTTTGCTGTGCACCCCCCCTTCCAAAGTCCTTGTTTTGCCTGGCAGCAGCACACCCCAGGTGCAGGGCCGCCTGCAGCTGCTTCTGGCATCCATCTCCCATCCCCAGCTGGGGTGATGCCAGGGGGATGCTCTGCCTGGGCAGCCTCAGGGGAAGGAGTCTCCTGTCAGTCCATATGGAGAGGTGTGCAAGAAGCCATGGTTGTTTCTGAGGCAGGATGCTGCTCCCTGCCAGAGCAAGGTCTCACAGGGAAAGCTCTCTGAGGAGATGAAGTTTGGGCTCTCACACACCCCCAGCCCGGTTTCTGCACTGCTGGCACCAGGATGGACAGAACTGCTGCTACCTGTGGGACACAGGCTGCTGCCCAGAGCAGCCAGGACAAGGCCACCGCCACCTCCCTGAGTGCTGCCAAGCCCCTCTCAGCCAAACTCAGGCTGCAGGCACGGCTGACCAGGCTGGGGCTGACACTGCAGATCAGAATGGGGCAAATCCCCGCATTCCAGAACAAGGCACATTCCCCAGAGGGATCTGTGGCTTTAGCATTGCAGAGAACACGCAGTGTTTTGGGGGTGGGAAGGCACTTGCCTTGGGAGCAGGGGTGCTCCCAGTCACACGAAAGTGGGTTTCAGATCCTCTTTGAAATTCACCACAGGCTGGGGGCCGCCGTGGTGCTCTGTCTGGTGATCCTCACAGTCACTGGGCTCTGTGTCCGTGTCCGTGCTGCTGCTGTCCAGGGAGCCACGAGGGCTCTGGAAGCAAACCTCGCAGCAGGGTCGGTGGCAGCCATGAAACACCTCCTCAGAGCTGCTGCTGCTGCTGGAGTCAGAGTCTGGGTAATAGTACAGCGAGCGCAGGGAGGGCTCCGCGGGGCTCCTGGGCGTGCCCTGCCGCCGCCGCCGCTCCTGCGGGATGCTCGGTGAGGCACCCTGGCATCCCGGAGGCACCCTGGGCCATCCCTGCCACCCCTCTGGCTGGAGGCTGGCCTCCCTCGGGATGGCTGCAGGGGACGGTGCTGGGCCGTGAAGGAGCCCTCTGCCAGCCGTGTCCCCTCCCTTTCCCAGGGAGTTTTGAGCTGACTCCCCACGGCCCCAGCTGCCCACCTCCTTCACCCTGCAGCTGGCACGAGGGGATACGTGTCCAGGGAAGCGTGTGGAGGCAGGGGGCAATGGGATCCTGCGTTGAAGCCTTGCCAGGTAGGGGCTGAGGGCTGTGTGGATGCCCGGGTAGCCCTCCTGGCCTGCCCATGTTTCTCCCTGCTCGCCTGAGGTGCCCCGGTTGCCGAGTGGGGGTCCTGCAGATAAGGCTGGGCTGTGGTTTTTGCCATCCAGGCTTAACTCTTGCAAGATTTCCCACAGCTTCTCGCTGTTTACATAGCTGATTTTGGGGGACGACTCCCAGGCTACACCAGCTGAATTGTCCTGGCCTGGCAGCTGCTCCAGAGGCTGCTCCTGCACTGCAGGTGTCCCACACTCCTGGAGATCTTTCAGGCCACGTTCAATGCTGTCCCCTCCATTAAAAAGCAGCACCTGAGTGCAAACAGGCTCCTGGGTTGCATCTTTCTGGAGAGCCTGAGCATTGCTGCTAGGAGGTGATGAACCCAGCAAGCAGGGGGGCTGCCACCCATCCCTCCCTGGATCTGGGGGGCAGCAGTCCCCTGGTGCATCCCCAGGCTGCCCTGAGCTCCAGGTGCAGGGAGCTGCTGGCAGCATACGGGGGTCGCAGCCACTCTCCGCAGACATCAGCCTCATCAGCTTCTCCTTGGCGCTGCTCACTTGCTCCTGCAGGCTTTCGATCACGGCGTTTTTCTGTGTCAAACAAATAAGCCTGTCAAGTGTGGGGCGGGCAGGGAGGAGGAAAACGCTGCCAATTTGGAAGCAGGAACTGCCAGAAAACAAATCACCCCTCTCTGCATGGCAAGAGCCACACCAGCAGCATGTGTGACCTCAGCCTCCCCTGCAGCCCCCCAGACGTGTGTGTGGAAAGGGGCTCACTGGGCAGGCAGCTCTTCAGGCTGGGTCGTTCCTGCCCATGCAGTGCAGGTGACAGAGCAGGAGCCTGGGGGCTTTTCTGAGGCAGAGCATCTCCCCTCTAAATTAACCATGCTTGACAAGGCTGTGGGAACCAGGCTCTCTTGTGCTCCTCCCTACAGAATTTTTTTAAGCCCTCCAAATTATGCCTAAATTGTGGTGCTTTGGAGTGTAACAAAACAAAGCAGCTCTTCCCCTCAGGAAGGAAGAGGGTGGTGAGGGGTCACCAGTGTGGACAGGGGTGTAAAAAAGGGTTTCCCACCCTGCAAAGCCTTCAGCCCACAAAAGGGAAGGGGGGAAGCTGGAGGAGGGGGGCTGGCAGAGCCCCATACCTCGGTGAGCAGCCGCTTCATAGAGTTTTTCTCCCCTATGAGCTGGTAGAGCTGCTCCTCGCTGTACACTGAGCGGCAGCTCCTGCTCGGGCTGGTGAAATATTTTGCCATGTGGCTCATGGTTTGGCTTTCCTCTTCAAAGGCTTTCCACTGCTTGAGCTGGGGAGTAGAAGAGGGTGTTATCCACAAAGCTGGGCCGACACAGCGGGAGGCAGGCGCAGCTCGAGCGCGAAGGAGACAAAGGGATGGAGGGGGGAGACAAAGGCAGGGTGGAGCAGAGACAGCCAGCCAGAAATGGCTGGGCGAGGGGCTGCAGTGTCACTTGGAGCCTCCCACCTATCTGAGCCCTACCCTGTTCCTGGCTCCAGCTTTTAATGCAGGAGAGGGTCAGTGCCTGGCTGCACTGAGACTGCTGAGCACACTGTAAAAGCCCCCTCCCTCTTCTCCCCACTCCCTGACTCCATGACAGACAAAGACAGTGTCATGCCTGCCCCCTTATCCCTGAATCACTGGTGACAAGCTGAAAACCAGCAATGTTTAGTATCTATTTGCTCATCTAGTGTCTGCCTGGAAGCCTTGTGCAGCCCAGCTCCAGCTGTTTATTGATCTCAGATGAGCTATAGAAAAGCAAACCCATTAGGAAAAACAAGGTAATGAATTAAAAGATCCAAGTTAAATAAAATGTTCAATGGCCCCAGGCTCCCAAAGAAAAATGGTACAGGAGTGAAAGTACAGCTCATCAGCTTCTCTACCCTCAGTCCAAGGGACCTGGTGCTCCAGGAGGCCTGGAGCTCTCACCAGAGGGGGTTTGGATCCTTGCTCCCAAAGGCTGCTCTGCCTCAAGAGGCAGGAGGGGACCTCTGGAAATCATCCCAAGTGCCCTGCTCAAGCAATGTCAGAAGGAGCAGCCTGCTCATGACTGTGTCCAACTGGGCCTTGAGTATCTCCAAGGATGAAGACTCCACAGCCTCTCTGGGCATTCTGCTCCAGTGCTTTACAACTTTCACAGAAAAAACTTCAGCCTTTTCCTCATGTTTAAATAGAATTTCCTGTGTTTCAGTTTGTGCCCATTGTCCCCTGTCCTGTCAGTGGATACCACAGAGAAGAGCCTCGCTCCCCCTTCCCTATTCCACCCCCATCGATATTTATATACATTGCTGAGATCCCCTGAGCCCTCCCTTGCACAGATGTGCCTTCCTCAGCTTCACTTCTTCCTCCCTTTCTCACCTCATGTCCTTGAGCCCAAACATCCCTCCAAACATTCAACTAAGTAAATAACTGTTTCCCTTCCCTGTAACAATGGGAGCATTATTCCCACTAACGTGGTGGCCAGGCACACCAGGCCGCTCCTGGAGGACACAGGAAGCAGAAGTGCCTCAGCTCACCACAAAAGGCTTCCTTTAAACACCTCCTCCTCCTCCTGGCTTGTGGCAAAGCCCAGCTTCCTTCTCCAAAAGTGCAGAGGAGGACAGCCTCCCCTGGGGAAGTCTCTGAGAGTGGCTGGGCCATCTGGATGGTCTGTGCCCGGCTCCATCGCTGCCAGTGGCAGGAGCTCCTGGAGCAAGTGGGCACGTGAGGCACGAGGGAAGCACAACTGCACAAAGGACACATCCCACCACCTGCATGGAGCAGGAGGAGGAGGCCAGTGGCTGCCTCGCCTCGTGTGTGCTGTCTGCATGGCTGTCACCTGGGGCACGTTCCTGCAGGAGGGTTTCTGAGCAGCAGTGCTGCACTCCTTGGAGACTTGCCAGGACATAAAGGGGACAAGGAACAAGAAAGCTGGAGATGGACATTTTAGAAGGGCACAGTGATAGGACAAAGGAGAATGCCTTTAAACTGAAAAGAGAGTAGTTTAGATTAGATACAAGGAAGAAATTCTTCACTATGATAGTGGTGAGACCCTTGATCAGGCTTGCCCAGGGAAGTTGTGGATAGCCCAATCCCTGGAAACATTTAAGGTCAGTCTGAATGGCACTATGACAGCCTGGTCTGGAGGAAGCTTCTCTGCCCACAGCAGGGGTGTTGGAACCAGATGATCTTTAGGTCTCTTCCAATACAAACAATTCTGTGGTTCTTTGAGACTCAGGGAACTTGCTTGGGGAAGCAGAACCACCAGGGTGGGGTGGGGCCTGGAGAATGAGCTGTACAGGTGAGTCCAAACATTTGGGGAAAAAAAGGAGGAAAGTGAGCACATTGACGCCCCTGGCTGCTGTTGTTAAACTCCAAAAACGTGCCTATTTCCAGCCAAGTGACAGGACAGAGATGGCAGCATACCTGTGGGACAAAGATGAAGCAGTTGATGGTGGTTGTACACACAAAGATGCCTCCAGAGGTAAAACCAAACAGCAGATTGTGCCAAGCACGGAAGAAACGGTGAACTAAGCAGATGGTACCAGCAGCCAGGAAAACCAGGTTGACCCCGACGATGAGTGTCAAGGACTGGTTCACTGGAGAGGAGCTGACATTGTCGGTCAGACCGGCCAAGTAGGTCCCATACAGCAGGAGGATGCTCTGGAAACAGAAAAAAGAGGTTTCCAGAGTGTGGAAAATTACAGGCTGATGGTGTCAAGCCCCGTGTCGCACCAAGCCCGGTGAGCTCAAATCGCGCTCAGCGCAATCCTAATTAATGCTCTTTGATCTGTAATGCAGACCTGCAGCGTGCGGCGGTGACGCTGCAGCAAACGCCCAGCACGCTGCTGCAGGCCAGGAGGGGGCTGGGGACGCGGGGCAGCAGTGAGGGCACTGGTGGGCACAGGGGGTCCCAACCACAGGGCGTGAAGAGCCAAGAGTCAGCGGTCAGCAGGTGCTGCCACAGAGCAGGGCACGGCTGGGAGAAATTGTGAAAACCACCCCTTGGGCAGCCTGGAGCAGGAGAAGCAAAGGCAGACAGACAGGAAGGGGGTCCCTGCAGGGATTTAGCAGTGGGTGCCATCAAGGACCAATAGCAGACCTCTGAAGGAGCAGGAAAGATATCCAGAAGGACTTCAAGAGGGAGGCAAGGAGACATGGAGGTTTAGACTGGAGGGAAGAGGATGTACTTGGTGCCTCTTTAAATAGCAATAATCCAGGAAACTACCAGGTGCAATTCTTTTCCCTTCCCTTGGCTGTTTCCTGACTCCAGCAGCAGGGAAGGGCACTATAGAAGTGCCTCTACAGAGGCTCTCCCTCCCCCCAAGTAGAGCAGCTGTTTCAGAGAAGGCTGTCTCACCACCCTCCTCCTCAAGGGTCTCATGCATGCATTTTGCCAGTGTGCTCAGGATAAAACTACCCAGCAGGATAAGCATCTCCTTCCCTAGGTGACATTAGCAGGAAACACCAAGTATTTTTTGCCTGCCTCCATAGCATGGTTTGCCTTCAGGATCATTTGGAAATACCATCTAATAAATCTCAGCTCCTGCAAGGACCTGGAATACAGGGAATGTGACATACATGATTCCTGTGCTACCCAGGAAGTGTCAGCCTTTTACTAAGAGTCATTGTTATTTGGGCATCAAGAAGTGCTTTGTGACACGAGATGCAGATGGTTTTTAGACCCTTCTGAACCCCTCTGTGCTGTGCCTGGTTGGTGACTGTGATGGCCACTGCCAGGCCTAAGGCCTGGAGGGACACAAGTAAGGGACATTCATGTCCAGATCTCTGGTGAGACTCCCAACTTCAAAGCAGCAGAAGTCTCAGGGTGGGGTTGTAAGAGTGAAACTTGCCTTGCTGGGAACTGGGCCGGTGCCTTACCCTGCTTTGTGGAATCTGCACTGGATCATAACTGTGTCCACCATGGGGCACCTCCAAACAGCCCAAAGGCAAGGCAACCCCTAATCCCTGAGCAGGAAAAAACCAGCACCAAAGTCCCATTTAAATTCATACAGTCTATCTGGGACACAGACAACAGCACTGCGTCTCCTAAACTAGGACTCTCAGTGGTTTGTTTGTTTGTTTGTTTTAAACTTGAGCAGAGGACTTTGCTTCTAATTCCAGGCATGTCCTTGGCAAGTCATTTCTGTTCATTGCTCTGTGCCAGTAAAACCAGGATAATACACGGAGTGTCTTCCCAAAGGGCTGAGCACATTAATGCTGTGGATGCTAAGAAGTGCAATGTACGCAGAGATAAAGCCTACACTCACATTAGTGTAAATCCAGACTAACTCCAGAGAAATCACCAAGGAAATACTCCATGACCCCCAATAAGCAGGAAGGAACAGGGCCAAATTTAACACAACATTAAAAAGATTACCTGGAACTGATTATGGGGATGTTTTATTTCCAAAAGGATTTTGTAAGGGCTGTAGGCAGAGGCATTACCTCTCTAAACCCTAACACAAACTGCAGACAAAATCAGAGGTGGAGACACGGCACTGAAAGCCCAGGTAATGCCTACATTCCCTAACAGCAGAGGACTTTTAAGGACTTTGAAATTAAGTGCAGAAGGACTTGGCTGTGTTGTGAGGTCCCTTTCTGCTCTTTTTCCTATGATTCTGGGTAGATGGTCAGTGAGTATTACATTACAGTGAATCACAAAGAAAGTGCCTGTGCTGCATGCAGAGATTAAGCCATTCCCAAAAAAAGGCTGTGATCTCACAAGCTTCATCAACATCAGCTTTCTGAAATGTGTCCAGCCTCTGCCATACCAGAGACACATGAGACCACAGATAATTACAGTGATAATTATACCAACATAGTTACATCAGTATAACTAACACTGCTGGAAGAAGACTGGCCATGTGCAGAGATTCACCAGTGAAAGTGCACCTCAGAGGTGTAATTAACCCGATAAGCATCCTGCAGAGGTGGGGACCAAGCACTTGTCATCAGCATCTCCTTGGTTTGAAGTCACAGGGCACAGAGATTGAGCCACCTCGGCAGTGGCCATTCACTGGAGTCTTTAGGGAAGGAGTGTGGACATAAAGACCAGGAAGATGTCGAGTTTCAAGAAGTGAGATGAAGCTCAGAGGGGTGCTGGGAGAGATCCTGAGAGACTCTAAGTGCACAGAGTACACAGAGGAGATGGTGAAGCAAGGAGAACACAGCTAGCAGGGCTTTCACCCTTCCTAAGATGGGAAGGGCTGGAAATAGGAAGGCTTATGAGATGAACAGGATAGCTGGGATCTGCAGTGGGCATGCAGCTTGGGAGGGCAGCAAAATGACAAATGCTGCGAGACAGTTTAGGCTGAAAGACAGGGAGGAGGTGAGATACAATGCAAGAAGCACTCAAGAGGGTACATACCTTAAAGCCCAAAATGAGAACAAGCCAAAGATCAGAATAGAGCGATGCACAGGACTGCACCCGGCTCACGGAGCACGTCATGCCTTTCTCTGTGGCCTACAAGGCAAGGCAGAGGCACAAATGAAGGCTGGCACAGACCAATGGGAAGAAGCTGGTCTCCTGTGTAAATTTCTGAAAGGAGAGGCCAAAGCTGGTGCTATCAGAGGCAGAGTCTTAAACAAGAAGGTTTTGGCCTTCTGCTGCTTACAGGGCTGGTTAAACATTTCTCTAAAGCAGATGCCTTGGAGCCCTCCTGTGCCATGCAGGTGATCTGCACAGACCTGGAAATTTTGCAGTGGACTCTCACCTCTGTAGTAGACCAGACATAAACCAAATCCAGAGTGCTCAGAAGGTTTTCTGCTTTGTTTTTCTTTCTGATGTTTCTCAAAGACCACCCCCAAATGCCTGGCCACCCACTAACTCTGTTCACAGAGCTCAGGGAGGACACAGCAAAACTCCACCCTGCCCCTCCCCATCCTTTTACCCGCAGGGAGACGCTGAGGCTTCGGAAGCACTGGACTGGGTCAGAGAACACCCAGGTCAAGAGCAAGACAGTGTCTGCCAGCACCAGCACTGCCACCATGGCCAGCAACTGCAGGTCTTTGATAATCTGCAAACATGCAAGAAGTCAGAGTTACTATGGGGAAGGAATGGACCAATGACCTCCGTCCCCCTTGGGTCCCTTTGTGTTGTTTCTTTCAAGTGGCACATCTGTCCTACTACTTTGCCCAGAGAAGTGTCCAGCACTGACATTTGAGTTGGCCACAAGATCTCTGTCTTCAACTCCCAAATTCCTGGAGACCTAATCAGGCTTGAGACCAGGTATAAACCCTGTGTGTGGATAGCAGGTAAATACTATGACAGAAAACAGTTCTTCCAAAACAAGATTATCATCCCTTATGACCATATCACCAGCAGAGACAAAAAGGGCAGACAAAACCACCTAGTACGAGCATCATTTTGCAAGTTTAACACAGATCCCAGTGTGAAACCGGAATCCTTGTGATACCCAGTTCCCCTGCATAGCCTCTTGTCCCATCTTTCATCTGAGACCTACTTTTTTCACTGCAGCAAAGTGACCACTGAAAGTTGTAAATGCACTTTTTTGTGCACAAATTTTCCATTTCCCTCCCAGTTTCTGAATCCCCATCCTTAAGTGCTGCAGAGGACAGCCCAGCACTCCCTTCTTGCCTTCAAGAGCAGAACGGATCCACCTGGGGATGGCCCTAGATCAGATGCTTTTGAGGACACCTCATTTATTTTCATGCCACAAAACCAGCTGATTGTTTTTGTGGGATGAAAATAGACCTGAACACAAACATTGGTGTGTAGTGTAACAAAGGCATGTGGCCAGTGTAAAATGAGAACATTGCTTGGTGATGGGGCTGGGACTCCACTGGGGAAGAGGCAGCCTGGCAGGGCACCCACTTGCCTGTGGAGTGGAAAAGTTCCTGCCTCATTGTGCAGGGATAAATGAAGGGCCCGTGCCCAGCCAGGTGTGAAACCAGACCTGTGATTGTGGCATCCATCCCTGTCATGTGCCAGTTCCATCTGCTATCCCACTCTGGTTTGGGACTGGCTGGTGTCTGCCCTCCATGGAAAGTCTGTCCTCCCCTTCCCGCCTCAGTGCTGGGTACTCACCACGCGCTTGTCGGGCACCCGCTGGGTGAACACCTTGTAGAGCCTCCAGCTCTTGCCCAGCACAGGCCCGAACACCAGCGAGGTCCCCACACACAGCAGGCACAGCCTCACCTGCAGGGGCACAGCAAGGGGCTGAAAGGGGCTCAGGGACACCACACACCCTCCCAGCCTGGGCTGCAGGAGGATGGCTGAAGGACACAGTAGAAGACAGAAATCTTCTGACTTCTGGAGGGTGATACCAGATACTAGAAAGCTGTCTACAGGGTGAAATAAATTCAAAGGCAAACACTCCTCTGTAGGCATGCCTGCTGCCTACCTTTCTCTGCCTACCTAGAGACTCTCACTGGAAGGGCAGGCAGGGAGAGACAGGCAGCTTGTGAGCACCAGGGGCACAGAAAGTCCCAGCACCCATAAATCACTTGCTGGCACCTCTGTTAATTATCCTCAGGCCAGTGGCTGAGCAGGATGCAGGGTGTGCTCCATCCCACTCTCCCACATGGGTGCATGCCCAGTCCTCAGTCTGGCAGGGGGGCTGCCTCAGGCCAGGACATGGGGGCTCATCACACAGGTGAGTGTTTTGATGAAGATCTGCTCTGCAGCCAAAAAACTCACCCAGAGCACCTGTGCTGTGTCAGGCAGTGGTGGCTGTGTGGAGGGTCCCCTCTCCCTTTCTGCTCCCCTTTGCCTGCTGCACTTGTACAAGCCCAGCAGCCTGCCTGCCTGCAGGACCTGTCCCCCAGGGACCTCGGTGCAGATGTGGTTTGCAAAACAGCAAAGGCCCCATTCAGACAGAAAGTGTCTGGCTGCCTTTTGTGTATGTGAAAGCCACAGCCCAGCTGAGCAACGTGGTGGTGACAGGCTGTGGCTGGGACAGAGCATGTACAGGTGACAGCTGGCTGGGAGAGAGCACATACAAACAGGCCTGTACATGTGTCAAGGTGCCCATCCCAGCCAAGCCCCTGCTCACCTGAATTAGCTTTTCCATTGAGTCTCCAGATGGCAGGCTCTGCTCCTGAATCCCAAAGAGGTAAGCACTTGTGTAAGTCAAGCCACTGCCCAGCAGGGTCACAATGTTGAGATTGGGGCTGGACATCTTCACAATCCTCCAGGAAACAAAGCAGGGGATTTGGTGACAGTTACTGAGCATCATGACCTGGCAGCACTGGGGTGAGGTCCCCTTACAGGGATGATGACGGTCACAAGGAATGCTGACACACTGTCCACCCCCAGCCTGTGCTGTTCACCACTGCCCCAAAAGCTCAGCCATTAGTTCATGGTCCCACCCTCTCCCTTTTCTTGCTGGAGTGCTTCACAATCCTTCAAGTATTCATTTAGCCTATGCCAACACTTCTGCTGCAGAGGGGCAGAGATGGAAAACCACACCAACATAGCCCAGGGTGACGGTCCCCAAACTCTAGGTGCAGGAGCTACATGTGCCTCCAGAACAGGCCCTTCCCACTGCTCCTTCCTCTCAGGAGGTATCTCCACACTCAGCACAGGAAGCTGCCAGCAATGTTCAGGTTACAGTCTCCCCTCTGTAATTTCACCTCATCACTCATAATCCTGTAACTGTATTCAGGGAAGGGAGAATCAACCCACTGATCTCTTATGACCTGTCACCCTTCCCCAGCCAGCCTACTGAGTGAAAGCTGCACCTCCTGCCACCCTCCCCAACAGCTCTGCTCCTTCAACCTGCTGCCAGTTCATTACTTTTCTCTCTCCTTGAGCTCCTTCCTGCTGTCTTCCAGCCACAAAGCCTGGGGTTCAACTTGTCTCTCTCCCTCCCTGCCTTCCTCACCATGTCTCAGCCCTTGGAGAAAGATATTCACCAGCTCATGCTGTCAGCTGCAGCTGAGAAAGGTCTCTGCCCTGCCAGGTTCAGGAGACAGACCAGTATTTATTTACCGCAGGGTAAATAAATAACACACATTCATTACAGCACGTTCTGAGAACATAAATTCAAGCGGCCACTGAACTCAGCATCCCTCAGTAAATGAAGTGCTTCAGACTGGGATGCAGTTGGGATGCAGGTCATGCAGCAGGCACAGGACTCTCCACACAAACCCTTATGGGCAGGACCCTCCCAGCCGTGGTTGTCAAGAACATTAAATCCTTAAAGCCACCAGAGAAGTCCAACAACATCAGTGCAGGCTGCACTCAGATGTACCTCTGTGTGAAACAGTGGCACAGGGAGAGCAAAGGCTTTGCCTGGTGAAGCCTGGGAGAGGGATGTATCCCTGGAGGAGGAAGCAGCTGAAATACCAAGGGGCCAATGAGCCTGAGGAGAAGGTGGCAAAGAGGCAGCAGAGACATCCAGAATTGCTGAGGAAGGATCAGCACTGGCTGAGACAGGTTGAGCTATGAGGAACTGCTGAGCCTTCTGCTGGATTTATGCTGCCTTCGGGGAGCAGGACTTTTTATCAGAGCAGACTGAACAGCACCAAAAAAAGTCTACACTTCACCACCAGCTTTTCTGAGTAATGGAGATCATGTTCTCCACCAACACAAGCAACCACCAAGAGCAAAAAGGGTTATCAACATCTTCAAAGTATCAGTGGTCCAACAGCAGGGAGGACATGGCTCACTGTGGGGAGTATGATGGCCTTGCTATGGAGCTGTGCTGCTCCAATGCTCTCAAGCACGTGGAGTAGAATTGAGCTCTCCTTTTACCCACTCCTGTTGATGGTTTTATTAAGTAGCACCTGGATGAGACCATGCAGCACTGTCTGTGCCAGAGGGCACCCAGAAAGTCAGAGAACCATTAAGGTTGGAAAAGACCTCCAAGACCATCAAGTGCAACCTCTAACCAAACACCACTATGAGAACTAAACCACAGCACCAAGTGCCACATCCAGTCTTGAACACTTCCATATATGGTTATTCCACCACCTCCCTGGGCAGCCTGTTCCAATGCTTGACAACCTTTTTGGAGAAAAAATTATTGCTGGTGCCCAACCTGAACCTCTCCTGATGCATTTCCTGAGGCCATTTCCTTTCATCCTGTCTACAGCTCCCTGCCTTGGGAAGGAAAGGAGCAGTCCAAACAGGACTGTCTCCACCAGTGATCAAAACTCTGTGATGGAAGAAGCTGCACCATCCCTGGCACTGCCCTTTCTTGCCCTGTGCTGCTCCTTCAGGCTTTCACCCTCCTGATCTGTAGCTGGTCATCAGCTCAGAGCTTGCTCCTAAAAGAGCCTGACTCTGCTACTCCAGCTCAGGGGGAATCTCCCAGAAGAAAAGGGGTGCCCTTACCTGTTTTTCCTGAAGCGAATAGTGAAGATGAAAAAGAAGAGTGCTAGCAGGACTCCTCCAGTCAGGAATGTCCACACAACTCCCAGGAGACCAGCAGAGAAGGATGGGGAGCTCTTCATACTGTGGTCAAACGATGTCTGCATGAAGCAAAAGGGATAAGGGAGAAGAGGACACTGCTGGGGCTCTTAGCAAAGAAGGTCCCTACTCCAGCATGATCCACAGTTATCCTGCTCAGCCAGAACCCACAGCTCCCAGTAAGAAGACACTCTGGCAGCAGACCAAGTCCTGCAGGTAGGGCCACTGAGATGTGTGTGGACAGGACATGTGCTCTGTCACTTGCTGAGTGTTCAGGAGGACACGGCAGTCCAAGAGCCCTCTTCTTATGCCAACTAGCCAAATCCATAATGAAGCTGTACAAGGGATTCATAAATCCCAAGCAGCCCTGCCTCTGAAACCCAGGAACATGGACACTGGTTCCCCACTGTCCTCTGGAAGGAAATCTTTGCAGGAAGGCCCCATGGTGCCCCAGTTGGTATCATGCTTCTTTAGATGCTTCTTGGCTCCCCCCCTTACCCCTCCCTGCAGCAGACAACTGATCAGCTGGAGGACGTGCCTGGGAGCCAGCAGCAGAGCTGCCAGTCGGGGCAGGAGCACAGCACAGGGAGTGTGACAGCGTTTTTCAGAGGTGGTGACACACTGAGCTGGAATCCACCCGTCTCCCTGCCGGATGGAACTGAACTTGGTCCCAGGCAGGCATCAGCTGAGAACTGGCTTTGGAGGGACACTCCCAAAGTGGGTATGATGGAGGCACCTCTCCCCTTATACACAAACCACCCTATGGGTTTAAATCTCCATTTAAAATAATCTCTGCTATCTCCTTATTAACATAAAACCGATAAAATGATCCCATGTGAAACAAGAAACTACTTCCGCTGCTGATCTAAAATGCTCCAGCATTTAACAGAGTGTGCATGTGTGGGTTACCAACTTCTTTTTCCTTAAAAAAAGCATCACTTCAATAAAAGTGCTGGCACACCCCCTTTAAGGGGGGAGGGAGAAGAATGGGGTTTGAGCTGGGATCACACACCTCCTCACTAACTTCTCTGGTGCTGAGTCCTCTCTCAGGTATTCCTGCATCCAATTTCTATTGCAGAAGACTACTTTTCATGACAGTTAACACTGCCCCAAACTCCCAATTTTTACTTCAAAGTCTGAGCTGTTTCTGCGTCCAACCTTGCTAGAAATAAATCTTCAGGCAGAAGAAAGGCATTTGTTCAGAGCCAATGCCTCATGTCCTTCTTCCCCAGGCAGGCTTCATCTCCTCTGGGCAAGCAAGAACAACGCACAGCTTGCAGAGTTAAAGCCACCCCATAATTCTTGACACAAAAACGTGTCACTGCCACACGAGCACAGCTGATCTGCAGGCTCCTGGCAGCTCACATGCCAGAGCCACGCTGGTCACAGGGCAACTGGGAAAGGCAAACCCCTGCCTGGGAGAGACATCCAGCTGAGAGCTGCTGCTGCTGGGATACAGCTGCGTGCACATCTCAGCCTCCCTTTGCAGCAGTGTGGAGGGATCCCTGGGGAGATCCTCATCTCCCTCCTGAAAACTGCTTCCTACCCCCTTCTCCCTCTTGCTATTCCCTGGGGAGTCTTTTGCCTCTCTGGGAAATGAAGACCACACCAGATGGTGGAGATGGTCAGCCAGGTCAGTGCCCTGCTCACACCAGGACTGTCTGTGTGAAAAGCCCATCACTCAGCACAGATGAGGGCTGGAGCTGACAGGGCTGGTGCAAGGCTGTAATGCCCTTCTATTTCTGTGTCCTGCCTGCTCGAGCCCAAGGGTAACACCTGGCTTTTGCCACTGAGGTGAGCAGGGCAAACTCAGCACCCTGGGGTGTCTGCACTTCACTCCCAGATACACCCACCAACAAAATCTTTTCACCTCTGGCTGCTGTCAAAAGCATTGCTGCACCCTATTCCCAGCAACCCCCTAGGGATCAGAAACACCCCTATGATCTCCATGTTTTCTCTCCCACACACCCTCCCACCTGACTGCTGTTTCCCTGGATGTTGATGCTACTTGAAGTTGATGGAGCGCTTTGCTGGCTGCTGAGCGCAGTAAATCCTGGTCCTGGCAGGGGGAATATTAATTGTAAGCTGGCTGCCAGAGCCAGAGGAGCCAAGCAGCTTACAGCCTTTTAATTAAAGGCCCATGGTCGTGCAGGACGTGATGGAGAGCCGAGTGGGCCAAGCTCCCTGCTCCATCCAGCAGCCCCACGTGGTGCCAGCTGCCACTGAGTGCATCCCAGTGTCACTTCTACCCTTGCCTTACTGGTGGAGGGGGGAAGGTGCTGTTCATTACAGAGGATGACTTTTCATTAAATCCTGCTCTACTCATATTTGAAAAGCACTTTCAAGTTATAGGGGACAGCAAAGGTCAAGGGGAGACAGAGCCATCACAGGCCAATCCTGAGCAGCTGGCTGGCACATGGTAGGGCTGCTTGACATGACTTTGCTGTCATGGATGCTTTGTCCCCTTTGGATAACTGCTGGGTGTCACCTAGACTGGTGTGTCTTTTCTTTCTATCAACCAGGTGACAGTGTGCTGCCTTCAGCTGGACTGGGATCGCTTGGCAGCTGCACCTCCCTCTTCATCCCTCCCCCAAATCCACTTCTGCAGAGCAAACCTCCTGTCCCAGAGCACTCCCCGAACCCGTACATCCCACTGCATCCATACATACCACTGTCACAGTGCAGAGCTCCTGCAGGGCCCGCTGCTGCTGCTCCTGGCTGCCAAAGCTGGAGCTGCCATCGCAGAGCTCAGAGCAGTTGAATCCCGGCTCCATAGCACATCCTCAGCCGTCATCCAGCCGTACCTGTGCCCTGCTGGGAGGATGAGCATTGGCTTTCTCCAGTGAGAAGACACCTTTGGCATACACCACATCCCCCCTGCCAGCAGGGAAGGCTCTGAGGAACAGCCTGGAGCTGAGCTTACCCAAACTGATGGGATGCACGTCCGGAGCCAAGACAGGGAGTGCCCCCTGCCAGCGTCCCTTGGGTTCCTCTGCAGCAAGGAGAGTCAGCTCAGGACCAGGGCTCCCACGGAGCACGGTGCCACCCCCAGCACTGCCACACCACCCTGCAAAGCAACACCTGTGGAGGGTCACAGTGGCCCCCAGCCCCTATATCCCAGCGGGGAGCTGAAATGAGGTGCTGTGCTGGTCCAAGAAGGAACATGGCACCCTGGCACCCTGAACCCGCTGCATCTTTCCTTTGCCAGTGCATTTCCCTGCACTGGGGCAATTTCAGGGTCATTTTGCAAGTACCCTCCTTGTGCTGGCAGTGACTGCTGGTTTCATGGAATATCCCTTTCTTCCAGCAGAGAACCAGCCAGTGAAGACAACAAACAGCAACACGTGCTGCCATTGCTTACCAGGACCTACACCCAGGCCTGGGAGGGCAGAGGGGAAGGTGCTTAACGCTGTGTTTTGGCTGACTTGGCCCCAGATGCAGCCTGGCTACCTGCAGAGCTGGCTGTTTATTAAGGAGATGGAGAAGCCTGACACCTCCGTGCCCTCCCTCCCTCCCAGTGCTCTGGCTGCCAGGTATTGTCCCTGCCTGCTCCCTTTGCACCACCTTTGCCTCTGTTCCCCCTTTCATTTCTCTTTTTGGTGTGGATTTTAATAGGCCTCATTACCATTTTAGACATGAGGTCATACTTTTCCTCAAGCATCCTTACTCAATTACCATTGTCACCATGTTTAATTAGCTTCCAGCACACGACCATAAGTGAGTCTCTCGTCGTTAGCAGCTGGGGAGGAGGCACAACAGCTCACTCCCTACTTGCTCCTAACAACAGGTGGGAGGAAAAAATTACTCCTATGAAGCTCCTTGGTGCTGCTCCCTGGCTGAGCATCCCCTGTACCTGGTCAACCTTCCCTGTCGCTGCTCCTGACACTTTGATGCCCTCTCCTTCCAAGCCTTTTCTTTGGAAAAACTCCTGTCATTATGTGAGCAAAGAAAGAGTAAATTAAAAAGAAGCATGGTCACCAGGACCTGGTCTGAAACTTGATGTTCGTCACAGAGCATAATTGGGATTCGAATGCCAGAAAACCTACAGGTGTTGTTCTCAGCTCCAGTGTAGACTGATTTTTCACCTTCAGAGTAGTTGCTTACAAGTCCCAGCCCAAGCACATCAAGCTAAGTGGGCTACTTGTCCAAAATTAGCAGGCCCACCTCTGAAGCAAGAACCCCAGCTCTCCTGCTGGCAGAAGCCTTCAGGTACTGCAGGTCCTGGCACTGTCCTGCCCCTGCCAGAGCCTCCCCCAGCATGAGATCAGCTCGCTGTGTCCTACAAACACAGTATCACACACCAGCCAGAATGAAGATTTTACACTCATGGTGTGTAAAGATGTGTTTTTCAAGAGTGCTGAAGCCACCCAGCTCCATCAAGCCTCCTTCTCTCTAGCTTGTGGCAAACTGTGATGGTGTTTCTCCTCTGCAGCAGGCTCATCCTCTGGGACTTTTCATGCCCTCCATAGCTCAGGCTGAGTGACTGGACAAGAGCCATGGGTGCAGGAGATTTCCAGCTGCTGCACCGAATGCCAGGATTGCTACAGTGCTGGAAGTGCAGAGGAGAAGAGGAGACAGGCTCCAGCTGAACAATTCCACAACGGACAGTGTGGAGGGACTGGGTGGGGATGGGGGTAGGAGAGGGGCACAGAAGCTTTGATGCTGAGAAAACCTGAAGGTGAGCACTGCCCAGCCTCCAAGGGGCTCAGCTCCTCCCCATGCCCTGGTGGGTTTAGAGACAAAAACCCCTATAACTAACTCCTTGTAACCTTCTGCCATGTCAGAGGGGAACACTCCTGGCAGGTGGACCACTCCCAAGGCTGGCATGAGGCCAGCAGGCACAGCACACAGACGGATGTGCTACCACAAGGAGCCCTCATCCACCCAGGAGGGCACCCCTTGGAGAAGGGCAGAAGCCCCTTGGGGTCTCCCCAGCCCCCACCCCTGCATTCTGCAAACAGCTCCCACACTAAGTTGATAACAAGCCGAGGCTAATTAGTGTTCATTAGTATGCAACAAAGCAAGCACCAGCGCAGTTGTCGCTGGAAGGCAACAGGCATTTCCAGCCCAGCTCCTGCCTTTTTGAGAGCTGGCAGGAATGCTTCTCTGTAGCCTGGAGAGGATCCAAGGGGGACCAGCAATTTAGGGGGTCACTGACCTCAGGGTTAGACTGGGCAATGGCTGTCAGGACAGAAAACAACACAGGTAAAACACCACATCCTTAAAATGTAAGGGTCTGCTGAGAATAGAGACTTGTGGGGTTTGGTTTTTTGGGGGTGTTTTTAAGACTTAAAATGCCAACCAATTCTGATAGATCACTTCCAAAGCAGAATCACAGAAAGGCTCGGGTTGGAAGGGACCCCAGAGCGCTGCTTGCCTTGCTCTGCCCTTGGTCCCTGTGGCCCTGCACCTGCTGGCTGTCTGGGACATGGTGCAGAGCGTTTGGCCACAGAGGAGCACCGGCTTGCACAAAGACATGATCCAAAAAGACAAAAGTCAACAGGAAACAAGTGACTGGACCACGTGAAAAATATTAGCACCATCATCTTCTCAGATAAAAGGGAAGCACTGACTGCTAGAAACAGTATTTGGATAAAAGCAATTTGTGGTCACCTCAATGGTTGAGTCTCCAGGCCTGGAAAACCTGTTTCCTTAGATCTGTCGAGACCCAGGAATACTTAGCATAAAATCACTTAGGTTGGAAAAGAGCTCTTAGATCATCAAGTCCAACAATTAACCCAGCACTGCCAACCCCTCCACTAAACCATGTCCTTAAGCATGGTATCTACAAGTTTGTTGAACACTTCAAGGGACAGACACAGAATCATAGAATCACTAAGGCTGGAAAATACCTCAAAAACCACTGAGTCCAGTATCTAACAATGCTTAGTAACTGTAGACTAACACATCAATAGCCCTCAAAATAGATGCAGTTGATGTTATCTAAATGCACACCTTGACTCTCTCAAAGTTTCTTCCCTTTCAAAACATTTCTTTTGGGAAAAAAACAGAGGGAAAAAAACCTTTAAAGAAGATGAAAAATTGGTACAGCATGTATAGACCCAGAGCAGGCAGAATGAACTTTTCACCCCAACAGGCTCATTTTGATGTAGTATTGAAAGAGAGGCTTCTTCCCAAGGGTGACATAGCTGCTTGGTGAATCAAAAGGTGCAAAACCAAAGACGTCAAATCACAGACAACAGAACAATCACATTCAGAAATGTGCCAGTCTTCATGGGCTCTGCAATCCTGTCCGGTCACACAAGCCCTGACAGAGAAATGGTACATGCACACCGCTGCAGGGAGCACATCTGGAGAAACATCTGCTGAGAAGAACTTGTGGGAAGGTGGCGGTGTGGCCAGAGGCAGAGCAGGACAGCAGGGGAGAAGGAGGAATGTGCAAAGGGCAGAGCCACCCCTGCTGCCTCACCCACGATGGGTCTGTGCTGCTGCTGCTGGTCCTGGTGGGACATGGAGCTCTGCTGGTGCGGGGCAGCCAGGACTGACAGGACACCGGGCTGTGCAGTGGGAAATCAGCCGGATAACTGTTTCGGCAACGTGAACACCGCGGGATGGGGTTTTGCAATTCAAAATCTGCTGCTTCCAAGGCAGGCTCCTGCTTTTTCCTTCTGCTCTTCTTGTCCAACAAGATCGCTTCTAGTCTGGCCTGAGAAACCAGCAATATTGCCATCCCCAAGGTGATCAAAAAAAGTCACAAGCCAGACTTACTGCAGCACCCCCCGCAAGGAAGCTACTTAAAAACTGTGAGTTAAAACACACAGCATATCTGAAGATTATTTTTAATTTATATTTAAAACTTTGGCACCTACACTTTCATGCTTTTCCCTGCAAACACAAAAGGAAAAAGAAAGAAAACCAAGAAGCCCATCACATCACCCTAAAACCTGGGTTACAAAGGCTCAATCCCCAGGAACACTGGGGAGTTACAAAGCTGTCACCCTTCCTCTCGGGGTCTGCCCTGTGCTTGTGCTTCATTCTGCTCCTGTCCCTGGGATTTCCAGAGCCACTTCCAGGCCCTTCAGATATCTTCACACCTCAAGGCAGTCAGCAAGCCCAGTGAGGATAACCACCAGGAGCTGCAGGACCCTCTGCACACAAAGAAGGGAGATGCAGGACAAGGTGCTTCTGACTCTGTGTGCATGGGGAGCTCGCTGTGTGACTGAAACCTGACATTTTGTGTTGACTGAAGCTAGGTGAGATTTTCAAGCCTCCTATCATTTTGGAAAGCATGTCCCAATATCATGAAGGCAATAACTTCTGAATGTTGATCTTACTGCTTGTCTGTCCACCGTAGCTCCCTCAGCTTGGGAGGATGGCACGAGGTTGGCACATTTAGCTCTAACTGTGGACTTTTTAACTTTATAAGTGCAGGCTGAATACCCACCTGGCTTTTTTCAGTTCTGTGGTTTACATTTTGAATTAAAGAAGCCTCCATGCAAAAAAAAAAAAAAAAAAAAAAAACAAAACAAAACAAAACAAAAAAAAACCAAAAAACAAAAAACCACATTACTTTTTTTTGAACCACCACACAGTCCTGCAAGGAGATGACTCACACTTCTCCCACTAAGGAGCTGATAAGGCTTTTAACTCTCTAACCATAATTGCTATACAATGACAGGCACGTGAGAAACGGAGACAGAATAGATTGGAGATGCTCAAAGGAAGGAAAATTAGGAGGGAATACCAAGAAGCATAGGGAGCATGCCACAGATGAGGCCAATAAGACCAGAGCTGATGGGGAGGTAAACCAAATCCTTGGAGCTGCCAAGAAGCAACTCGAAGATCTGAGCCCTCCCTCGTGTCCAGCTGCAGCAGCTGCTGAGCAGCACGTGGATGAAATGAGCAGAAACCTGCAGGTTTCTGCCTCCCCAAAGTGGCTGGGAGCCCAGGGGTGGGGACCCCCCTGCCCCTCATGCTGAGCTCATCCCTGCTCGGCCAAGTGGCCTGGCACCTCCTCACACAGAGCCAGGCCACAGCAGAAACAGCTGGAAAAGTCCTTCCAGCCGAATCTTAGTGACACCACGGTACCCCCAGGTGGAAGCTCACCTTCCTGCAGCCAGGGAGGGAGGCAGTGGGATCTCTGCTGCCAGACAGCATCACCACCTGGGGCCCAGGAGGGCACAGAAATGGGCAGGGGGCACACCCCAAGCACCCCTCTGAGAAGGAAGGAGCAGTGCTGCTCCCATGCCCAAGCCTCTGCCCACAGCAGCTGTGCTGCATGGACAGGAAGGACACATAGAGGCTTTTCACCACTTTGGGAAAAATCCTGGGTTTTCTTCACTCCATTTCATTTATTAGTGGGAGACCACACCTGTAGGTGTTGCTCTGCCTCCATGGACAACCCCCCTGCTCATTCCCAAGCTCTGAGTCAGGAAGGTCTCCATCCCAAGTGCTGGGCATGTGGCAGATGACCTGGAAGTGGGATGGCAGGGGTCACCTCTCCAGAAACACACAGCCAG